TTATCTCATAGGTCCCATTATTCTCGCTGATCTCATCGTTTTCTTTCTTGCTGATCCCATTCATTCATTTGTATCACACCCCTCATTTTCGTTCCGATTTCCTATATCTACATTTTAATCAATGTTTTTTTTTCTCATACTTGTTCTGTTTTCTTTTTTAATAAATTTTGTTATAAATAAAGTGAATGGCGTTGAAAAGAAAACAAAATTTGAAAAGCGCTCGCTACGATGCTCCGAAATCCCGCTGGTCTGTTCGGAATTAGATCTAATTCGTTCGTAGTTCATTCGGTGTTTGTTCGGAATTAGATCAGCTAAATTCTGTACTAGATCATGCCACTTCTATTTACGAACGAACCCAGATCTAATTCCGAATCAAGTCAGATCTAATTCAGAATCGTTTACCTGAGTTATCTGCTATAGATCATCTGCTATATTTGTCTTATCTGCTATTAGGAAGATCATCTGCTATGGGGTTTCTCATCTGCTATAAATTGTAGAAATTCCAGTATCTGGTGAATGGTCCTGTGGGGTGAACCTCCTTGTTCTCTGTCTGAAAAATTTTTTTGAAATCAGATTTTGAGTGTTCACTATGTACCTCATACTAGAAGAGGTTCGGCGACCATTTGTTTGCGAAGAATAGAACGTATTTATTACTTATACGGGAAATAAATTTTTAAATAAAAAAATCGGAAACGAAAAAAATGTAAAAATACCGATAAGGCAATTTTAAGACAGCGCAAGACAACATTCTATAGTTTTTCTTGAGAAAATTAATCAATTTTAGCAGTATTTCTTCGTTTTTCGACTTCCAGAAATTTGTTTTGTTGCCAAAATCCTCCGAGAGGATTACACGAGGTAGCGTGTCTCGCCACGAAAAGCGTCGTTGGCTGAGGATCAAACGTTAAAGCATGGGCAGCCAAATACGAATTTTCCTGCGTTTCGCAAACTTTTTTTCTTTTTTTTTTCTTTTTTTTTTGAGAAAATTCTCTATTTTCAGCTGGAATATATTATGGTCAAGAATTTTCGGAATTATTTGTGACGAATTTTTAGAAATTCTTAGAAGAATTTTGGGTTTTTTCCATGTTTCGAAAATATCTGAAAACGTTTTTCTTTCTCATTTTTCTCGACTTTCGTATTTTCAACATCAGCATAATTTTCAGGCAGCCTACGGCTCATCAAAAGGAAAAAAGAGATTATATTGATGGAAATCCGACCGGCAATGAATGAAAGTAGTTTTTTTTCGAAATTTTCAAAGGAGAGCCTACTTCGCAGTGTTCAAATCTAGTTTTCAGGTATTTAACACAAATTAATTTTCAGAAATTTGAACTTAAAATCTCGAAAAAATATAATTGGAGAAAATACCCAAAACAATTTTATGATAATCAAAAAGAAGAGCGCTTCGAATATCGTTATCAAGTTTTATTGAAGTATGATCCTGAATGTTGATATCGAGATTTATTGGAGAATTTCGGAATTTTTCATGGAAAATCGATGAATATGGATCGAAAATATCGATTTCTGGAGTAAGCTAATTGTGATGTATTTTGATTCAGCTAATTGTAATGTATTTCTGTGATCGTTCTATTTTGTACCACCGGATATTTATCCCTCTTTCACTTGTAAACTTTTTTTTTTAATCTAAACCCGTCCCCAGAAATATTTGTGTTATTTCTTTTATTGTTTTTAAGTAAAATCTCTTTTTTAGCTGTTTTCTTAATCTATCCGCTGTTCCCTTGATGAAAAATCGAAAATTCAGAGCCATGATTGTGAAATAGTTGTAGTTTATAGTCTAGTTAGCAGACCATTGATTTCGCAACAGAGAAAAAATTTCAGCGAATTCTTCACTTACTAGAATCTGACTTGCCATGTTCAAGTTACTTGCGCGCCAGCGTTAATAAAGCTCAGGTTTCACTGATTTTCCCAAATAATAGCAGACTAGAAAACCCATAGCAGATGATTTTCCTGATAGCAGACGAGATTCTGAAACTGGAGTAAAAATAGCAGATAAGACAAATATAGCAGACGAGCCAATATAGCAGATGATCTAGCCATAGCAGACGAGCCAATATAGCAGACGAGTAAATAGCAGATAATACCAAAGCAGATGAGTATTTGCCTAAGTGAAAAGCTTGTAGATCAAAAGCTTTGGATCTATAGTGAACGGGACAATAATATTTCAGATTTGCTGATTATCGAAATTTGAAATGATTTCTGAATTACAGTATTTTGCAGATAAGTAGCTGGAATATTCAAATAGGAAGTTTTCAGTAGAATTACGGGAGATTCAGTTTTAAAGGTTTTGTATTAAGTTCGAAAGTTATATGGTTCACACGGTACAGCACTTCGGTTTGGATTTTCTTTTTTTTTGGGCCCTCTATTTAAATTTTTGTCAACTATTTTTTTTTTCAGATCCCCTTGCACCAAAACTCATTTAATTATAATTCAAATTGTTAGCACTTGGTATTTTTTCCTTAAAAACTCAATTTTTCCCATTATCACAAATTTGACTCTTTTTGATTTCTTGGATATTGCTCCAGACAACCGATACAATATGACTGGAGTTATGACGGAGGCGTTACCTATGAAAACTACAAAAATTCAAAGTGGTATTTAATTCCCAAACCAAATAACCAATTTTTTCTAATTTTCCTACAACTATGTCTGAATCTTCTGGAAATTTTTTATTCTGGATTCAAGTCACACATTTTGTCCCAAAACTTGGATTCATTCTCACAACACTTTTCGGATCGCTTCTTCTTCTGCTCAATTATCTCGGCGCGCAGAAAAACTTTGGATCCTATAAATACCTGATCAGTGCGTTTACAATTCTTGGCATGGTTTTTTCAGCCGTTGAGATTCTGGTTTATCCGGTAGGCAATAAGAAGGAAAGATCCTGAAAACCAATAAAGAAAATTCCAGAATGTGCACAATTATAAAGCCGGATTTCTGTTCTTCAGTTTCCAAGAGTCTTTTGGTTTGACAAGTTCATGGAGTAGGAATATACCATTGGCAGGTTACACATTTTTCCATTCAGCCACAATGTCGCTGTTGTCGGTGCATTTTATATACAGATATTGGGCTGTTTTTGAGTGAGTTTTCATTTTAACAAAAATTTTAAAAACATCTTTTTCAGCACTAACAAATTAAACTACTTCCAAGGGATCCGGTCTCTGATCTGGTTTGGCTACTGCACATTCTTTGGGTTCCAATATGCCCTTGGAACTTACTTCTTCCTTGCCAGAGACGAAATTGCCGATGAATACTTCCGTGAAGACGTTCTTCTTCGCTACAATGCAAATATCACAGAACTTCCTGCAATGTCAATTGTATCTTATGATCCTGTTGATGGATCAATCCGCTGGTTTAATCTTATGGGAGTGATCAATATCAGCGCAATTGTCAACTTTCAATATGCCATTATGATTTATTGCGGATGGACGATGCATACAAAAATGGAGGATAAGATTAAGCATTTTTCGGAGACATTGAGAAAGCATCATAAGCAATTTTTCAAGACTTTGGTTATACAGGTACGGATCCTTTTGAAGGAAAAAAGGAGAAATATATTTGGGATTACAGATCACAACTCCCACTATCATTCTTTTTATTCCGATTACTATCATCATGATTTTGCCAATTATGAATCTGGATATCAGTCTTCCAACTGGAGTGTTCCTTTGTAGTTTTACCCTCTATCCAGCAACTGATTCGATGACTGTAATGTATGTGGTGTCAGAGTATAAGAATACAGCTAAAAGTGAGTTTAGGAAATTATTTGAAACTGAATGTTTTGTTCAGGAATCCACAAAGTGTTCGGAAATGGAATAAAAGAAATACAAGTATCGAGAATTAGCTCTACAATAAACCCGGCCAGCACAGCACCGTCTTCGTGAATTTAAATATTTTCTTGATAGCTTTTGTTCCGGTTATAGCCTTAAACATGACAACATCATTAAAAATGGTTATCGGAGCTCCACAACCCTTTAATGCTCTAATATAGAAGCCAACCCTATATGTACACTTTAAGCTCAATTTCCGTGGTTACTTTAAAAGATATAAAATACTATTCAACTGATAAATTATTTATCATAATATCAGCAATAATTTAACAGCAGACAGATTTTTAATATCTATTATAGGAACCGAGATACATGAGCTCAAAACGTTTACGGTACTCGTAAGAATATGGAATACCCCGAAGAAGAATATAGTTTGTTCCGAACATTACATCTCACAAAACTTGCACCCAAACCCCACACAAACACTTTTATAGTTTCTCCGGATATATAAATCAGAGAAGTTGTCATTTTCCGATCCAAACTACGAAGCATGAAGCTTCTTAGTCTTGTTTTCTTGGTGCCTTTTATTGCGGCCATTTTCCTCGAAGGTAATGGTAACGGTGGAGAAAGACATCATAGTGGAGGTGGTGGATTCTCGTCTTCTTCTTCGTCTTCTGGATCATCTGGTTCTTCTGAAGAACATGGACACCATCATGGGCATAGGCCACCCTATAGGCCACCCCATAGACCACCACCACCACCCAGAAAGCAATGTGATGAGGGATGGATGAGATTCGAGAGACCTAATGGATTGATTTGGTGTATTTATGTGAGTTTGAAAGCCGGTTTTGAAGTTTAAAATGCATTTTTTCAGCTCGGCTATTCTGGAGTCACCAACGGCTACTTTTCTCAAGATCAGGCTCAATCTGCATGTCAAAGTCTCGGAGCCACTCTCACCAAATTTCAAAACGATAATGAGCGAATGACAGTAGCTCGTGAGGCTCTGACTAAAATCACCAACCAAGGGATTATGGTAGCTGGGCTTTGGCTTGGAGCCACAAATCTTCCGGGATGCCGATCTCCTAGTTGTGGACCGTATAGCACTTTTCAATGGACCGATGGACATACAACAGGATTCGAAGGTTTGAAGTGGGGAGTTGGCGAGCCGGATAACAATAATTGGCCGTGAGTTTTTAGTAGGAAAAAATTATAAAAGTAGATGTACAGAGGAGTCACGGCTTGCATTCAACAGTTTATCATTTCACCAAACTTCGTGGCGGGACCAAATGACTATGCCTCTTGGAAAGCAGCATTTAATAATGGAGATTTGGACAAGTATACATGTCAAGCACCAGCCTATCCATACACGAGATACTATGCTTGTGGAAAAGTCGGTGCTCAACGAACTGCATAAGATTCAATAAGACTCAATAAATAATATTTTCATGGGTTTCCTAGTTTCTATATAAATTAACGGCGTTTTTTAAAGCTAATTGACAAAAAGAAAAGTATAGTGTACTACTGAAATGCGATCCAAATAAGGAAAAAAGCAGAATGATCTCGGGTGGGCTCGAACCACCGACCTTCTGTGTGTTAGACAGATGTGATAGCCACTACACCACGAGACCGCTGTTGGAAACAACATACAAGAAGGGACACTAACGAGGGCGACACACACGCACTAGGTGACCTTCATAAACGCAAATTGACCCTTGCACTTTCGGCCTGCTTAGTATAGTGGTTAGTACTCCACGTTGTGGCCGTGGCGACGCTGGTTCGATTCCAGCAGCAGGCATTGTTTTCTTTTTAATTTTTTTGTTTCGGTAATAGGTTTAAAAATGTGGCTTCGGGCGTTTTAATTTGGTTCTTCACATGTTTTGATCCAGTTTCGTTGTTTCTTGGGATAAAATTTTTAGAAGAGATTCATTTCTTATCGGCATTTATTTAGGTGTCTCTAGTTTCTTTTTTCAATGCAATTTCAATTTTAACATGCAAATGGAAAACCAAAAATAATTTCAAAATCTGAATAAATTTTTTTTTTTTGAGTTTACATGTTGTGTAAGTTTCCAATCTCCAAACTTCTCGTCTTTTTCCCCCATTTTCAGTGCGCGTTCGTTTTTTCGTTTCTTCTTTTCTGTTTCATTTGTTAACGTTCTCTTTCCCCCATCTCTCCGTCGCCCGTATAGCTCAGTGGCAGAGCGTCTGTCTCGTAAACAGAAGGTCGGCGGTTCAATCCCGCCTGGGGGCATTTTTTGTTTTTTATCATTGTTTTAATCAAAAAGAATACTTTAAAAATAACACATAGTTTTATTGAAAACTTTCAAGGATTCGGCATAGGCGCCGGAGTTGTACTTTTTGATTTTTTAACACGAGACATACAGAAATTGTAAAAGTATTTGATAAGCATACAGAAATATACAAAAAGGGTAAGTAGGCCGAAATAGAAACTGAAAATTATAGGATCCGGATTTTCGGCTCCTTTTCCGTGGACCGCAGCGATGAGAACGTGAAGAGCAGTTATAGTTAGACCGAAGGTTCTGGAAAAAATGTTACCTTAAAACCTGTAGTAGAAGAGCCCCCTAACTTTGAGCCAAATTTTCTCAGTTTCTGTCAAAGATATAAAAAAGTTTTCAACTGATAAATTGTTTATTATAATATCAGAAGTGTTTTATTAGTTGACCACTTTCTGATATCTTGCTTAGGAATAGAGATAATTGAGCTGGAAGTTGACACTGTGAGGGGACCCTTCTGTTACAGGTTTCACGGTAGAAATTTTTTAAATTTTCCAAGGTACAATGATACTTGAAAACTCACACCAAGGACAAAATCACCCGAAAAACTATACTGGAAGTCCTGAGTTTCTTCGAAGAGCTTCTTTTCTGCTTATCCTTCTGCCATTGTCTGATTTGCTCCTTGTTGGAATTCCTAATCGAGCTTCTTGGTCTTGGAAACTTTCCCTCAAAAATCACTCCATTAAATTTGTGTTTCCAATAAATCAATCGATCGATAAAAATCAGCACAGCCACCAGAATCATCCACGTAGGCAGATAGAAACATACATCCAGACGCCCGGACCAACAGTTATCCCGAATTCCGACATATAAAAATAGAACGCCAATTCCCAGAAGAATGACATTGGTGACGTATGTAACGACTAAAGACATGATACAATCATGGATAGCTAGGTAGGAAAAGAGAATAGACAAACCGTATTCAAGCAGTGTTTTCATCTTTCGGGTTTTGTTCTGAAAAAGGGTTATTGTAGTTTGATCAAGATTTTTAAATTATTTTTTTTTAAAGGGGGACTCCGACCAAAAATTTGTATTGTATTAAAATGTGTTAAAATTTATCTATTTTCCTAATATTATTGCGAAAAAATTCAAAAGAAATCTGAAATCCCCGAAAAACGCCGTTGAAAATGAAAAAAATTCAAAAAAGGTGCCGCCGGGGGACGAGGATTTGAATTCCCGCGCAGTGAGAAACCTAGGCCACGGCGCCTGACAGCATTATTTTCAAGTGGCCGACAGTGTTTTTTAATGTTTTTTACCTGTCGGAGATAAAAGCAAGAAAAATCCGGAAAATTTGTACGGTAAGAAAGTCGCGCCGCTCGCGTGGCCTAGGTTTCTCACTGAAAATCCTCGTCCCTCGGCGGCACCTTTTTTTGAATTTTTTTCCTTTTCAATGGCGTTTTTTGGGGATTTCGGATTTTTTTCGAATTTTTTCGCAATAATATTCTGAAAATAGATAAATTTTAACACATTTTGATGCAATAAAAAAATTGACCGGAGTCCCCCTTTAATATCTTTTTTCGCCTTCTTGTTTTGATCACAAGGAACACAAACTAATAACAAATAATGTCAAAAACATAAAAAAAATGTATAGCCATAAACCCAAAAGAAAACACTAAACATTTAGAAAAACGGGATTTCAAAAAAGTTTTTTTTTTCAAAATTTCAAAAAAAAAGTTTACCTTGGCAAACTCGAGAGAACCTAACAGCAATGGGTGTCTTCGAACGAATAAACTAGTTTCCCAATAGACGATGAGATCAGAAGTCATTTCTTCTTCTGTTTTTGACGACAACGTCTTCTCGCTGTTCTTCATTTTTTTCACGTAATTTTTCTGTTTTTTATCAACCTTTCTTCTTTTTGATACATTTAAGACACTCTTGTTTTCAAATTAATAGTCTGCTGATTCTGTTGACAAAAGTGATATAACATTATTATGACTTTTGAAAGGGAAACAATATTTTTGAATGGAAGTTTTGAACTTTGCAACTGAGTTTTCAGGCAATTGGAAACTTAAATTCTTGTATTACTTTGATTTAATTCCAATGCGGCCAAAAGATTGAAGATGTGCGGAGCTTAAGTTTGGTAGGAATATCCTCCAAGGAGCATGAATTTTTCGTTGTTTTTTAATGATTTTTTTTCGATTTTTGGAGCATTTGTCCACCAGAAATACCGACCACTAGAATGCCACAAAAATGAGACCACCAGAATACCTTAAAACCTGCAATAGAGGGTCACCTAACATTTGACTTTGAGCCAATTTAACTCGGTACCTGTCAAAGGTATGAAAAAGTTTTAACTGATGCATTGATTATCGTAAAATCAGAATTATTTTATCAGCTGACCAATTTTAGATATCTCTCATGGAAACCGAGATGATTGAGCTCAAAGTTGACGGTTTGGGTTGGCTTCTCTCAAAGGAAATACGGTATTTTAGGTTACCGTAGTTGTCGTTGTGATACCATCAGACACGGTAAAAGTTAGACATCGATTTATCAAAATTTTGAAACAAAAATATCAAACATCCGAAATCAAATCCGAACCATCTCCCTCCTGTCTCTTACAGTAATCATAGCAAACCGTCACCAGATATTTGACAAAAACGCATGCATAAACTTTCACGATATATAGCCCAAAACAAAATCCATAGACAAAAAGTTGAGGAGCTTTATCGAATCCTCCAACTGACATAATGTAGGTAAATTGCATTGAAACACCGATTATAGTTCTGAAATATTCAAATGATTTAAAGTTTAGGTCAGTTAAAAGCTTACATGATCAAAACCCCGATCTTGAATAACACATCAAAATATAGCACCAGTTTCGCCTCCTTTTTAGCATAGCTTATCCATGAAAATAATAACTCCATTTTCAGAGAAGTTGCTACAATGACCATCCAGTAAGGGACAAAAGTGATTGTAGAGGGTCCATTTTCGCTAATTGCGAGATAAAGGAAAAGAGAAGATATAGAGATCAAGAATGTGGAGGAGAGGATCTGCGTAGCTGGGAATTTATAGATTGGAAAATCAAGAAAAATTTTTGAAGAGCTTACCCAGTTAAAAATTGGCGCAGTTCATCATTTTTGCTAGTAGACTGACTTGTGGGAGAGATGACAAATCAGCTACCTTCTTTATTTTTTCAATTCCTCAGATTTCTCCGAGACGTATTTTGTTGCTAGCAGTAAGGACGGTGACACATTAAAGGAGGCCAGACACGAAAGTCTACGGAGTTTTCTTGGAGCGAGAGTATGTATTCTAACGGAAAATCGTGCGATTGCGACCAATGCGCGCTACTTGACGAGGATTCATTTTTTCCAATATACACTAGATTTCTTCACTGTTTGTCAATTACTCCCGACTTTTACTAGTTATTCGGCCATTCTAGGATGTCGCCGCATGAAAACAGAAAAAAAAAACGAAAACGCACAGATGGGGATCGAACCCTCGACGCCCGACTGATAGACAAGCGCGTTCACCTCTACACCACAGGGGGGGGGCTTGTCGTCTACTGCCACTAAAACGATTATGAAACAAGGAGTCGGCGCCGCTTGGACGCGTTCTCGCTTGTACAGTAACAGAGAGTTATGGTTTGGTGTCCATTGTTATTTTTTGACTGTACTGTGTCATATATCAGAAAACTAGAATTTTGAAATTTTTCATGTCTGGCCTCCTTTAAGAGATTTTCATTTACTGCAAAATTAAAAAAAAAACAGTGAGATTATGGAGATCAATAATATGAAGGAGAGGATCAGTGAAAATACACAGATTGGAAAATCGAAATCAAAAATCGGATGCCATCTTGAATAGCGAATAGTCAGCTACAATTCCTCATCAGTTTGAACAGCTCTAATGGATTCAATAAGTTTAACGATATCCCCACGTGGTCCTCTGGGATCGATGTCAGCTGTGCGATCTTTTCGGTTCAAGTTTAATAGCTGTAATTTTCAACTTTTCAATAAAATACTTAAAATTATTCTTCACCTGTTTTGTTGTCACATTAATTCCTCGTTCATGAGCAACTCGTTTCGCATTAACTATCGTTTCATTAGGCATCACGTCGTTCCGCAGAATATCAATCTGATGAGTGTTCAGGCGCCGTTTATTCGAATTTGAAGACTCGGGAAGTTCACATTCATTGGTGAGAATAACGTAGTGCGAGTAGATATAGTCATCGTATGTGAAAACCCAAAAATAAACTTGTAAAAACTTAAAGATATACTGCTAGCCAAAATTCTGTCTTAAAATGACAAATTTAGTTTTTGGGTGACTGAAAAAGTACTAATTTCTTGTCCGTTTAATTTGAAAAAACTCTGGGATTATAAAACAAATCTAGAACTTTTTTTTGTTCTATACTTGTTCTCAAATTCTTGATTTTTTCTAATAAGACAAATAACGCGTACTTTTTCAGACACCCAAAGTTGACACTTCTCAACTTGAATGCTCAGTTTGAGATAGGTTTTTTGACCAGAACTGTATGTGACCAACCTGCTTCGATATGTCCTCTGATTCATAGCGGAGACAGCGGACAGTTTGAACGTCGCTATCAAAAAGTTTCATCATACAGTAGCGAGGTTCATGACGGATTTTCAGGGATCTGACTGTTTTTGACCATGTAATAGTATCGAACGGAATTTTGCCATTGCTCTCTTTTGGAACTCGAATTGTCAGTGTACCTTCTTCTTTGAGTTTTTGAAGTTCATTTAATCCGATTTCGAGACTTTCGGAATACCTGAAAGCGGTCAGTGCTCACTTGTACTTATGATGTTGCTCACGTCTTTTCGCTGATTATCTTCATCCATTCCTCTGCAGTCAGCCATTTTTTCTTTTTCATTTTGACGACGTCTTCGGAAGAGATCATCCTGAAATTCTAAAAGTTTAGTGGGATTTGAACAAAAAATCGATAACCCTAGAAACAAGTTTAAAATCAGCTATTTCGTTTCGAAAATTATTCTAACAAAACATTGAAATTTCAAGAAAACTAAGAGAAAAATATGGATTTTTCAGAAAAAAACCTGTTTTAAAACTTTTTTAAAAAATTAAAAGACTAGTCGCAGAGACACTTGGTAGTATTAGAGACAAGTAGTATAAGAGACGGACGGTAGTGAAAGAGACACTGGCAGGAGAAGAGACCATGGTGAAACAAGAGAAATGGCAGAAAAGGAGAGAAGTAGTATGAGAGAAAGTGGGAAAAAGAGAAGATGGTAGTAAAAGAGACTTTGGGCAAACACTCTTTTACTACCTTTCTCCATTTCTTGATCTTTTATACTGCTTTTTCCAATATCATGTATGTCGTTCAGGATCCAACTTGTTAGGAAAAATGGCTTCGAAATCATTTAGTTTGTTCCAAGTTTCCAATATTTTTCAACAAAATTTTTAAATGTTTATAGCATATTTGTAACCGGCCGGGCAGAGTTTTTTCCACATTTCAGAGGCCGGGCCCGGGCCCCTCATTTCACAAGTTTTGAAAATTTCAAAAAACACATAAGAAGGTTGATATTTTCTGTGATATTTTCGATCAAAATTTTTTTTCAAGTTTTTTCGATTTTTTTTGATCAAACAGACAAACAATCCAAAAAACAAAAAAATGAAGAAAATTATATTGAGAGCTCAATAATTTGGCTCAAAAATTCAGGATTTTCGATACCGGGTCTTCCGGCCCGGGCCCGGGCCTCGAAAATTTCCTCAGACCCAGCTCGGAATTTTACAAGTATGGTTTTTAGCGAAAAAGTCGGAAAAAGATCACTTGATTGATTATCATTTATTATATTTTTGCTGATTACTAATGTTCTATATTCCTCAGTTTTCGCAGTTAGAATAACATGAAATGTCGTTGAGATGTGACTAACCTCGATGACACCTTCTTATCACTGTAGTTTCATTTTTCATTTTGGTTGTTCTCTTCTTCTTATTTTTCCTCTTTTCTATACTTTTTCACCATAAACTTCGGACATTATATCTGTTTCGTACCATTATGCCTGACAACACTGCTAGTCAAGAACTACTACAATGCTCTGAGAGGTAACCGTTCTGTTTTTTGAATTTTAATGCTCACTATCAAGTTTTCAGATCCACTAGTCGTCCTGCGGATCAGATTAACAAATTTCGAGAAATTTTCCTTCCGCTCCTCATCATTTGTATTGCATGTGCACCTGTCGCTTATCTTCTCTCGTTACTCATAACTGAACTCATTCTGCCCCAAGAAGTTTGCAACAAGCGTGTAGTTGGATATTATACAGTTGCTGAGTGGAACAAGCTAAAAGAGAACCAAATTGAAAAGTTGACCCATCTCATTTTAATGTTTGCTTATCTACAAGACGATGGAAGTGTTATAGTTAACGGCGGACCCTATGAAGTCAAAGCGTCTGACATGAAAGAAGTTATAAGTGTGGCTAAAGAAAGAGAGAGTCTGAAGGTAATGATAGCTATTGGTGGATCCGAACCTCATTTGTATTCTCCCATGGTTTCGGATCCTGTAAAAAAGAAGTGAGTAGTACGTTAGGCTTATTTTATTACTTTGTTGCATTCAGGAACTTCATGGACTCAATCACTAAACTGTTCGAAGAATACGACATTGATGGGATCGAAATTGTTTGGATGTACGTTTCGGAAATAGATAACGAGAATCATCTGAGACTGCTTCGTGAGGTTCGGCAACATTTGACATCCTTGAAGACTTCAAAAGGAAAAAAAGAAGATTATGTGCTTAGTACTGGTGTATCTAGATACACTGAGTATTTTAAACATCTTTACAACAACAAAGTTTTGACATATGTGGATTTCCTAACAGTTCAATCTCATGATTGGTCCTATTTAAATACCCAGGTTGGACCTGTTGCACCATTATACGGAGGACCGCAGGATAGCATTGATGATGCCATGAAATATTTGGTGTGCCAAACAAAACAACCAAGTAAACTGAATCTTGGAATTCCGATGTTTGGTATGGAGTGGAAAAACGCATCGTTCCCGATAAACGACTATAATAATCAACTTTATATACCAAAAAAATCTGGGAACAATTGGTCTTCTTATTATTTCTGGAGAGACGAAGAGGTCAAAACATTTAGTCCTTCTGAAGTTTCATGGCATGAAAAGTCACAGACTTCATATATTTTTCGAAATAATGTTTTTGTAAGTTTCGAAAACGAAAGAAGTGTTCAAGCAAAAGCCAATTATATCAAAATAAAGAACATCGGAGGAATAGCTATTGATGCGATTGATCAAGATGATAAAAATATTCTAATGAATGCTGTCGCATCAATGAATTTATGTTCCGGAGAAGATGAAAATAAAATCCAATATGGTTGTAAATGATGTCCCGATTTCTAATAAAAACTTATTAACTTTATGTGTCCATTATTTTTACAAAATTCTACTCAACGACAATTTAGCTTTCAAGTCTAGCTTGCTTATCCATAACACGCCGACAATATTCGTTCCTATCCAGTCAGATATTTCTTCTTCTCTGCCTGGACGATGTCTTTGGAAGATCTTCGCCTTTAATTAAAAGAATCCTATATGTAGTGTCACACACCCCTTTAATATTGTTTTCAAAGGAAAACTACTTATCAAAAAATGAGCCATTGTCTTTTTTTTAATTGTTAAATATAGCATAAACACAACAACCGTGATTGAATTGATCGATTTTCATCTATGATTCTTTGGTTGATTACTACAGGGTGCTTCAAAAGTTCTGCAACCAAAAGAAGACATCATAACGTCTCGTTTATTCAAACAAGTAGAAAAAGTCGGAAAAAGTGAATTCTTGGATGACTTGATTGATTTTTATTTTTGATATTTTTGCTGATTACTAATGTTTAGTATTCTTCAGTTTATGCAATTAGAAGGTTGAGAAGTATCGTTAATTTGTAACTAACCCGCTGACATCTTCTTATCAATTCAGTTTCATTTTTCGTTTTTATTGTTTTCTTCTTCTCATTTTCTCTCTTTTCTTTCTTCTTGTTCATCTAAATCTTCGGTTCAAAATACTGTTTCGCATCATTATGCATGACGAAACTACTAGGCAAGAACTACTGCAAGGCTCTGGAAGGTACGTTTTTTTCTTTAAAACTTTGAAGTTTTAATAATAATTTTTCAGATCCAACAGCCTGCCTGTCAATGAGATCAAAAAATTTCGAGAAATTTTCCTTCCATTCCTCATCATTTGTATTGCATGTGCGCCTGTCGCTTATCTTCTTTCGTTTCTCTTAACCGAATACATTTTACCACGAGACGTTTGTCACAAACGTGTGGTTGGATATTATACAGTTTGGGAGAAGAAGACGCTGACTGTGAATCAACTTGAAAATTTGACCCATCTCATTTTTATGTTTGCTTACATAACCAGTGATGGAAGTGTTAAAGTCAAAGAAGGAGCATATACAACGAGAGCGTATGACATGAAGGAAGTTATAAGCATGGCTAGAAAAAATGGGAGTCTCAAATTGATGATGGCCGTTGGCGACCACGACGCAACCGTGTATCCTTCGATGCTTTCGGATCCTGTGAGAAAGAAGTGAGTAGTAATGCAGACATAGTTTATTACAATATTCTGTTTTTATTAACTTCATGAGCACAATCACTCAACTGTTCGAAGAATACGACATTGATGGAATTGAAATTTTCTGGATGTACGTTTCGGAAAAGGATAAAGTGAATCATATGAAACTGATTCGAGAAGTTCGGAAACATTTGACATCTTTGAAGACTTCGAAAGGAAAAAAAGAAGATTATGTGTTTAGTACTATCTCATCTCGGTACACTGGGAATCGCGAACACATCTACAACAATGAAGTTTTGAAATACGTGGATTTCCTAACCGTTCAATCTCATGATTGGTCGTATTTGAACAAATATGTTGGACCGGTTGCACCATTATACGGAGGACCGAAGGATAGTATTGATGATGCCATGAAATATTTGGTCTGCCAAACCGAACAACCAAGTAAGCTGAATCTTGGAATTCCGATGTTTGGCATCCAGTGGATAAACACTTCGATGCCGATCGATGACTCTAGAAATCAACTTTCAATACCAAAGAAAGCTGGAGAAAAGCAATACTCTTACTTTTTCTGGAGAGAAGAGGAGGCCAAAACCTTTATTCCTTCTGAAGTTTCATGGCATGCAAAATCACAGACTCCATATATGTTTCGAAATAATATTTTTCTAAGTTTCGAAAACGAAAGAAGTGTTCAAGCAAAAGCCAACTATACAAGAATGAAGAATATCGGAGGAATAGCAATTTATGCGATTGATCAAGATGATAAATATGTTCTGGTGAACGCTATATCATCAGTGAACTTATGTTCCGGAGAAGATGAAAATAAAATTCAATATGATTGTAAATAATATACCGAGATTTAATAAACTTTTATCAATTTTATGATCGCATTATTTTAAACAATTCTACTCAATGATCTTTTAGCTTTCAAGTCTAGCTTGCTCAACCAAGCTACACAAATAATATACATAGTTTCAATAAACGACACCAGGTAACAAATCAGTGCAGCAAAGGAGAATCCAAATACAGTGAAGACTAAAGTAGGCTTACAAGATTCTGTGAATATGATTTTTTGGCTCCAGACTGCTCCGATGATAATCCTAGAAAACAGAAATTGAAAGATAATGCATTTTTAATAACTTACGCCACGAAAAAAAAGATCCTCAAGTTCGTCTTGGCTAGAATCAAAATTTTCGAAGAACTCTTTGCTCGATCTTTTTCCCATGTTTTCATCAGCTCATAATCATCAGTTTCTGGTCGTCGGAATGTCTTTTCAAATTTGGCTTCGTTGATAAGAATCTTCCAGAATATCACTCTATCGATAATGATAAAAATAGCGACACAAATCAGCCAAATCGGGAGGGACGGATTGATAGGACATTTTGATAGGTTTTTCAGACCAATGAGAAGAAAATACACTGGGAGAATTGCATAAATGATGTTTGAGACGATAAGAAAACCTGGAAATATTTCGATCATTCAAAAAAATTGAAGAAAATCATACAAATTGCACTTCTTTCGGAAACTTCCTTTTCAGATCGTTCGACTAGAATCATAGTGAAAAAAGAAGACTCGATTTGAAAAATGAGAGAAAAAAAATCATCTAATTGTTTTTCAACAAGTAATCCGGTTTCTTATCACATCATCGTCTAATTTTCACTTTATTGTAATCAAAAAGACACTGATTGTTTTTGAAACAATTTCTAGAGAAAACAATAGTGTATTAAAAATCTTGTTCAACATTTTTCCGTTTTGTAATCCGGTGAGAATTGCTCCCAAGCAGATGCAAGCATTCTGACCATTGAGAGAACCATATATCAGTTACTCCCGAAGAATCCAATCTCAAAACTTTGAGAATTTGAACGTTTCCCGGAATTTGAGGTCCCCAAAATCCACGAAATCCCATTAGGTCTCTTGAATTCCAGCCATCCATCATCACATGCTCTTCTGATTTCAATAGGCTCCCGAGGACGACGACGTTGGTCTTCTGTTTCCACGTGGTGGCTGTTCCTCGGATGACCAAGATGAAGAACTGAACTTCTTCCTTTATGATCAAACTCAATATAGAAAAGTTTCTTGGTTTTTGCTTTCTGGAGTTTTGCAAAAAAAGAGCGTGGTGTGTAATGCGAAATGAGGGGTTTATGATTTTGATTTCGAGGTTATGTATTCGATTTTTATAGGTTCGGAGATTTTCATGAAAATAGTAATTTTCTTTGTAATTTTTTTTTCTCATTTCAAATCGTATACTTCTTTGTCGTTTAGTTCATGTGATAAAGATTCAATTAAGCAAATTTGCGATACTTGTCAAATATTCTGTCCCGAGCAATTGGTGTTTTGGTACACTTTGACTCTCATGGGTTATGGCTATCAAACGAGAGAAAAGCTTCGAAGGGTCAAAACTTGTAAAAGCGAATCGATCTTACTTTTAACACTTTCTCTAACACTCAAACATCATTCACAAAAAAAAAACGAAAGCAATGCCTGCTGCTGGAATCGAACCAGCGTCGCCACGGCCACAACGTGGAGTACTAACCACTATACTAAGCAGGCCGAGAGTGAAAAGTCCAATTTGAGTTTATGAAGTTTGGCAAGTGCGTGTGTGTCACGTCCTCGCTGGTGCCCCTTCTTGTATGCCATGGCGCTCCCCTCTCAACCAGCGGTCTCGTGGTGTAGTGGTTATCACATCTGTCTAACACACAGAAGGTCGGTGGTTCGAGCCCGCCCGAGATCAGTCTTATTTTGTTTTAGTTGGTTTTTTCGTGTATGTTTCAGTGTTAGAGAAGGCGTTGAAAGTAAGATCGATTCGCTTTTACAATATTGGACCATTCAAATCTTTTCTCACGTTCGATAGCCAATCGAAGAGTGACTCAACAATTAAGTTATCCCTCTAATAAAGCTTGACTTCACAGACTTCAGAACTCAAAAACCATTAAACTTTCATTTGCCGTTCTACTCGTGTTATGTCTTGCTACAGTCTTGCTTCAAAATCGAAATTTCGAAAAGCAAAGAGATCGGGCAAAAACTAATAAAAATTTCTGATTTAGCAAGGCATAATATGGGTAGAACGAGTAAGAAAAGTTTCTTATTTTTGGTTTCTGAGGTCTTGCAAACAAAGACGATGGCGTGTAATGTCAAATGAGGGGTTTATGATTTCAAGGGGTTTCCATGTTTATGGATTCGGAGTTGTGGTATAAAAGAAGCGCAGGACGCGTTCAATTGAACCAGTTATTTACTTTTGTATATTTTTTCTCATTTCACAACGCATGCTTCTTTATCAGAAACTTTACCCAATTTTGCGGTACTTAGCAATCATGGGTTATGGCTATCAACCGTGATAAAAGTTTTGAGGTCGAATGTTTAAAAAGCGAAGCGATCTTACTTTTAACGCCTTCTTTATAACTGAAACATTATACACGACACCTAAAAAAAGGAAAAATGCCTGCTATTGGAATCGAACCAGCGCCGTTACTTGTTCTTCGTTATTTTTTGAATTTCTCAAAAACGCTGAAAATAGAGCATTATAATATAAAATCAGAAAAATTAAAAGAAAAAAACGAAAAACTAAGACAGATCTCGGGCGGGCTCGAACCACCGACCTTCTGTGTGTTAGACAGATGTGATAACCACTACACCACGAGACCTCTGTTTGAGAGTGGGCGCCAGGGCATACAAGAAGAGTGACACACACGCACTGGCCGACCTTCATAAACACAAATTGGACTTTGTACTCTCGGCCTGCTTAGTATAGTGGTTAGTACTCCACGTTGTGGCCGTGGCGACGCTGGTTCGATTCCAGCAGCAGGCATTGCTTTCGTTTTTTTGTGATTGTTGTTTAAGTGTTAGAGAAAGAGTTAAAAGTAAAACCGATGAACTTTGCTTTCACAACCTTTGGCCCATCTAAGCTTTTCTCCAGTTTAATAGTCATTACTCATGAGAGTCAATGTTTGTTGAAAATTAAGAAAGCAACAACAATGAAGCTTCTTATTCTTGTTTTCTTGTTCACGGTGCCTTTTATTGCTGCGATTTTCCTCGAAGGTGGTGGTGGAGTAAGACATCATGGTGGAGGTGGTCGATTCTCATCATCTTCCTCTTCTTCTGGATCTTCTGGATCTTCAGAAGAACATGGACACCATCATGGGCATAGGCCTCCAAGTAGACCACCCCATAGACCTCCACGACCACCCCATAGACCACCACGACCACCCACCAGAGAGCAGTGTGATGATGGATGGCTGGAATTCCAGAGACCTAATGGGATTTGGTGTATTTTGGTAATATGAAACTCTAGGAGACGTTCAATTTTCTAATTTTCAAGGTTGGTAATCCAGGAATTACGAATGGATGGTTCTCTCAACAAGATGCTCAGAATGCTTGCATCGGCATGGGATCAGTTCTTACCGGATTCCAAAACGAAAACAAGCGAATGAAAGTGGCAGAAGAGGCGCTTAAGTTAACAACAGCACTAGGGCGTACTGTAGCTGGACTCTGGGTAGGAGCTACTAATCTTCCTGGATGCAGATCTCCTAGCTGTGGACCGTATAACACTTTCCAATGGACCGATGGAGATACAACAGGATTTGAAGGCATCAAATGGGGTGTCGGTGAACCGGATAACAATAATTGGCCGTGAGTGTCCTTGTTGTCTTTAAAATACGTTTAAACTCAAACAGGGGAGCCACAGCTTGCATTCAACAGTTCATCATTTCTCCTAACTTTGTCGCTGGACCCGAGGATTTCGCGGGATGGAAACCAGCATTTGTAAATGGGGATCTTGACAAGTACCAATGCAATTCGCAAGTTTATCCAAGGACGAGATTCTACATATGCGGAAAGAGAGGAGTTCGGAAATAATTGATCGTTTTTCTTCAATGAATTGTGTTAATAAAAAAAATGTTTGAATTAAAAATATAGTGATACACAGGGTGGCTAATAAGTATGTGGTTTTTTGTTGTGAAAAAAAAAAGTCCTGGAAAAAAAAGTGGGTTATGACATTGGAACTAAAACCATTTTTTGATATAATGAACCTTTTAAATAATTATTTGAGTACATGATCGAAATAGGAAGCTATGGCTTCGATGCAAGGCTTCAGACGATAAGCGAGAAAAGTAGAATGTGTCATGGTTTGCGGTGGAATCACAGCAACAGGTACAACTTAAAAAAAAAAGTTTTTGTTGATTTAAACGTGAAAATCAGCTCGCAGGTCTATCAAATAGTAGTTTTGATTCATAATTTGTTGCACTGGGCCACTGGACGCTTTAGTGAACGTCTTTGAATCCTTCCATAAGTCCGAGAACCGTCTTGTGAATAGAAATCTACATTTGCTTAGACGCTCATTTTCCTGTTATATATACCTCGAAAAAGACTTTTTGCCTCCGAACTCTTCGGATTTCATTCCGATGGTCTTCAGTGTGTGGGACTGTAGAAGAACAAGATCTCAGGAATCTGCTAAAGCTGTTTAGACTTTCTGGAAGGAACCTGTCAAAAATTCTGGGACGATATTGACGCCGTCGCCGAACAACCCAATTTTCATTAAGCGTTTGGAGGCTTCGTCGAAGCTAGTTGTCCTAACTTTAACTACTTGTTGTATTTTTAAAAGTTTGATAAAGTTGGAATAACGTTTTTCAGAATAATGGTTTAGAAACCTCTATCATTATCGGCCACCCTTTATTCGCTATTGCAACTTTTGAACCTTTAAAGCTTTTCTCTGGTTTTATAGCTATAAATCATGTCAAAGTGTGACACAACGAGGAAGTAAACCCTCAAATAAAGCTAACCTTCAAAGACTTCAGAGAGCGAAAACCATGAAACTTCTCCTTGCCGTTCTACTCGTATTATGTCTTGCTACAATCGTCATCTCTCACAGAAAGGATAATGATGAGGTGAAAAAGATTGTAAAAGTTATTGAGTTTGATGACGATGTGGTGGAAGGAAGAAGTTCAATTGGAAGAAAAGGAAACAAGAAGTTTGGTTCTTCATCTTCTTCATCATCCTGGTCATCCGAGGAATATCCTAGACGTGGAAACAGAAGACCATTCCCACGTCGACGTCCTCAGAGACCCACTGAAATCAAGGAAAAATGTGATGATGGATGGCTAGAGTTCAAGAGACCTAATGGGGTTTGGTGTATTTTGGTAATTTCAAACTCTAGCAGACGTTCAATTTTCTAATTTTTGAGGTTGATTATTCCGGAGTAAGCAATGGATGGTACTCTCAGCAAGATGTTCAAAATACTTGCACTGGCATGGGAGCAGTTCTCACAGGATTCCAAAACGAAAACGAGCGAATGACAGTGGCAGAGGAGGCGCTGAACAAACTGACAGTACTAGGACAGACTGTAGGAGGACTCTGGGTTGGAGCAACTAATCTTCCCGGATGCAGAGTTTTTAGCTGTGGACCCCATAACACGTTTAAATGGACCGATGGAGAAACAACAGGATTCGAAGGTTTCAAGTGGGGAGTCAATGAGCCTGATAACACTGATTGGCCGTGAGTGTGTCCCTGTTATTTCTAAAATGAACTAATTTTTCTAACAGAGGAGACACGGCTTGCATTCAACAGTTCATCGTTGCTCCAAACTATGTCGGTATGTGGAAACCTTATTTTGTGAATGGGGATCTTGACAAGTATCAATGCAATTCGCAAGCTACTCCACCGCCCAGATTTTATATATGCGGAAAGAGAGGAGTCCGTAGGTAGTTGATGGTTTCTTCAATAAATGTTGTTAATAAAAGTTTTGTTCGAATAAAAATAATTGATTTATGAATTTATTGTACTCAATCTCGAATGATGCTAAACAATTTGGATTTCAGAAAAGACTTTTAATTGTCACTTTACCACTTGATTTTTGAGAAAATCATTTATCTTTTGCCTCCGGCGCTTCAAGCAGCTGGCTGGTTTTTTCAAGCGAAAATATCCATAAAAAGATAAAAGAAGTGTAGCGTTTTCATATTCAAAAAAAAAATGTTTGACTGTGGATACTCGGAGAAACAATTTAAAAAAAAATCTAAATCCATCAGCAGGCGTTTCGTTTTCTGAAATTTTCATTTGATGTATTTTTCTGTGTTAGAGAAGGTTTTAAATAGCGCCGAAGGCGGACATCTGGGACATCAAAGAAACACTATTCGCTTTCACAACCTTTGACCCTTTAAAGATTTTCTCTGGTTTGAGAGCCATAAACCATGAGAGTCAAAGTGTGACACAACGAGGAAGTAAACCCTAATATAAAGCTCGCCTTCAAAAACTTCAGAAAGCGAAAACTATGAAACGATCCTTTTCCGTTCTACTCGTATTATGTCTTGCTACAATTGTCACTTCTCACAAAAAGGGTAAGGATGAGGTGAAGAAGATTGTGAAAGTTATCGAATTTGATGATGATGTGGTGGAAGGAAGAAGTTCAATTGGAAGACGAGGAAACGAGAAGTTTAGTTCTTCATCTTCTTCATCATCATGGTCTTCCGAGGAACATCCAAGACGTGGAAACAGAAGGCCATTTTCAAGACACCGACGTCCTCAGAAGACCGTTGAAGTCAGAAAAGCATGTGATGATGGATGGCTGGAATTCAAGAGGCCTAATGGGATCTGGTGTATTTTGGTAATCTCAATTTCAAAGAAAAGTTAAATGTTCTGAATTTCAAGGTTGGTAATCCAGGAATTACGAATGGATGGTTCTCTCAACAAGATGCTCAGAACGCTTGCATCGGCATGGGAGCAGTTCTCACCGGATTCCAAAACTCAAACGAGCGAATGAAAGTGGCAGAAGAGGCGCTTAAGTTAACAACAGCACTAGGCCGTACTGTAGCTGGACTCTGGGTAGGAGCTACTAATCTTCCTGGATGCAGATCTCCTAGCTGTGGACCGTATAACACTTTCCAATGGACCGATGGAGATACAACAGGATTTGAAGGCATCAAATGGGGTGTCGGTGAACCGGATAACAATAATTGGCCGTGAGTGTCCTTGTTGTCTTTAAAATACGTTTAAACTCAAACAGGGGAGCCACAGCTTGCATTCAACAGTTCATCATTTCTCCTAACTTTGTCGCTGGACCCGAGGATTTCGCGGGATGGAAACCAGCATTTGTAAATGGGGATCTTGACAAGTACCAATGCAATTCGCAAGTTTATCCAAGGACGAGATTCTATATATGCGGAAAGAGAGGAGTTCGGAAATAATTGATCGTTTTTCTTCAATGAATTGTGTTAATAAAAAAAATGTTTGAATTAAAAATATAGTGATACACAGGGTGGCTAATAAGTATGTGGTTTTTTGTTGTGAAAAAAAAAAAGTCCTGGAAAAAAAAGTGGGTTATGACATTGGAACTAAAACCATTTTTTGATATAATGAACCTTTTAAATAATTATTTGAGTACATGATCGAAATAGGAAGCTATGGCTTCGATGCAAGGCTTCAGACGATAAGCGAGAAAAGTAGAATGTGTCATGGTTTGCGGTGGAATCACAGCAACAGGTACAACTTAAAAAAAAAAGTTTTTGTTGATTTAAACGTGAAAATCAGCTCGCAGGTCTATCAAATAGTAGTTTTGATTCATAATTTGTTGCACTGGGCCACTGGACGCTTTAGTGAACGTCTTTGAATCCTTCCATAAGTCCGAGAACCGTCTTGTGAATAGAAATCTACATTTGCTTAGACGCTCATTTTCCTGTTATATATACCTCGAAAAAGACTTTTTGCCTCCGAACTCTTCGGATTTCATTCCGATGGTCTTCAGTGTGTGGGACTGTAGAAGAACAAGATCTCAGGAATCTGCTAAAGCTGTTTAGACTTTCTGGAAGGAACCTGTCAAAAATTCTGGGACGATATTGACGCCGTCGCCGAACAACCCAATTTTCATTAAGCGTTTGGAGGCTTTCGTCGAAGCTAGTTGTCCTAACTTTAACTACTTGTTGTATTTTTAAAAGTTTGATAAAGTTGGAATAACGTTTTTCTGAATAATCGTTTAGAAACCTCTATCATTATCGGCCACCCTTTATTCGCTATTGCAACTTTTGAACCTTTAAAGCTCTGGTATAACTATAAATCATGTCAAAGTGTGACTTGAAAGTTGATGATGATGTGGTGGAAGGAAGAAGTTCAATTGGAAGAAAAGCACTTGAGTTGCGTTCTTCATCTTCTTCAGCATCCTGGTCATCCGAGGAACAACCTCGACGTGGAAACAGAAGACCATTCCCAGGTCGACGCCCTCAGAGACCCACTGAAATCAAAGAAACGTGTGATGATGGATGGCTAGAGTTCAAGAGACCTAATGGGGTTTGGTGTATTTTGGTAATTTCAAACTCTAGCAGACGTTCAATTTTCACATCTTGAAGGTTGGTAATCCAGGTGTAACCAATGGATATTTCTCTCAACAAGACGCTCAGAATGCTTGCACCGGTATGGGAGCAGTTCTCACTGGATTCCAAAACGAGAACGAGCGAATGACAGTGGCAGAGGAGGCGCTGAAGAAGACAACAGCACTAGAGCGTACTGTAGCTGGACTCTGGGTAGGAGCTACAAATCTTCCGGGATGCAAAGTTTCTGGCTGTGGACCTTATAACACTTTCCAATGGACCGATGGTGATACAACGGGAATAGAAGGTTTTAAGTGGGTGGGGAATCGGTGAGCCGGATAACACTAATTGGCCGTGAGTTTTTTTTAACTAGATGAGGTGTAAAACATATTTCTACAGAGGAGCCACAGCTTGCATTCAACAGTTCATCATGGCTTTATCCCTGGACCCGGGGATTCTGTGAATTGGAAACCAGCATTTGTAAATGGGGACTTTGACAAGTATCAATGCAATTCGCAAGTTCATCCATGGACCAGATTCTACATATGCGGAAAGAGAGGAGTTCGGAAATAATTGATCGTTTTTCTTCAATGAATGTTTTTAATAAAAATTTGTTTGAATGAAAAATCAATTTTTTTCACATTTCGGATTTTAGAAAAGACGTACAAAATAAATCACAGTCTATCACATTTATCTATCAGAAAATAATATGTTACAGGAAATTTTCAAAAATAGAATCTCACTCTATTTCAAACATCCTGGTCGGAAAACGCGCCCCAGCGAACGTGAAAAATCACTGCGCAACGTGTAAATTTTTCGGTGGCTGAGGATCAAACTTTTAAACGTTGGGCGAAAAAATCGCAAGTTGCAAATTCGTTGATTAAAAATATATAGGTCAAATCCTCGTCACTGTTTACATTATTAAATTTCGCCTGGCCTAAAAGTTAACTGGGGCGCGATTTTCGACCCCGTTGGTTTGAAACTCCATGGAATCTCAAAACTTTTCAAATTGTCCTGAAATTAACAATATTTTTCTGAGCTTTGATGAACATGCTGATAAGCTTATTTAAGAGACACCAGTTTTCGACCGCAAGTGTGATAACTCGAACTACCGTATAACCTGGTATTTTTACGGTATGGTCCATTGATAAAATGATTGTCACAATATTATCAACATTTAATCAGTAAACGAATGTTTCGTATCTATTACAGTAACAGAGATAATTGAATTCAAGATGTGAGTCTCACAATCAGCGCTGATAATGATAGAGGAAGTACAGCATTTCTATCGTTGAAAATAAGTGAAGCTTGAGTTTCTGTCCTTTTTCTTAAGCCGTTTTCGTTTTGGCTCTATCTCAAAAAACCGATCTTGTATATTTTCTTTCCAATGGGACTTCTAAAATACTGCCGAGTTTGAAATTTGAGTCCATTTTTTTAAGGATGATTGCTTTGATTGACGGATCTCTCATCTCCAAAAGACCTCTACAAATGCAAAGGATCTTCATTTTGAAACCCGTTTTTTTCTAGTTTTGTGATCTTTCGAGCTTTGCTCTTTTCCCAATTTTTTCCACCCATAAACAATCCAACCCTCAACTTCCCGGAAGTTTCTCAACACTAAAATCTCTCCTCTCCTTTAAAACCCCATCATTCTTCTCCCACCTTCACTTCGGATCTTCAGTATGAAGTTACTTTGCCTCCTGATCCTATTCCTTGCCCTAGTGTCTTTAGCATCTGCTCACAGACATCGTCATCATAGACATGGCAAATTCACTGGAAAGAGGCCAAAGAAGATCGTTAAAATTATCCATGTTGGAGGAGGAAACAACTTCCATGGACCTAAAAAAGTGACCACACCACCGGCAGCGTCCTCGTCTTCTTCTTCGTCATCCTCGTCTTCAGAAGAGGTCCCTCCAGCATTTGACACTGATAACGAGGAAGTCAAAACTACACTGCCTGCTCCACCACCAACCACAACTACAAAAACTACTACTACCACCACCACCACTACCACAACTAAAAAACCAGAACCAAAATGTGATGAAGGTTGGCTCACTTTCCAGAGAATTCATTCACCTTGGTGTGTCTTGGTAAGAGCCCCTTGTGGTCCTCCTCTGCAATCAAAATTAATAATTTTCTAGGTCGGAAACAAAGGTGCCAATAACCATCAGCTCACTCAACCGGAGGCTGAAAAAGTCTGCAAACAATTCCAGGCGACACTTACCGGACTCACGAATGATGACGAGCGTAAGCAAATCGCTAACGAGGCTCTTCACCAGTTGGGAGAGATCGGCATTGAGATGGGTGCAGTTTGGCTTGGTGCCAAGACTCGAGCCGCGTGTAAGTCAGAGAGTTGCGGAATACACGATACTTTTGAATGGAGCGATGGATCAACGTCGGGAACTGGTGGCTTTGTATTCGGAAAGAATGAACCGGATGATGAGATCTATCCGTGAGTCACTGAAAAACTGAAAAATTTAATATTTAGTGTTACAGAGGAAATCACGCTTGCCTTCAGCAAATTATCATGAGCCCAACTTTTGTTCCAAGCACAGATGAGGAGAAAGAAATGAAAAGCAAATTCCAACACGGAGAATTGGATAAGTACAAGTGTGAGAGTCCAGAACATCCTAAGACCAGATTGTACGCATGTGGAAAGAAACCACAATAGATTCAATTTTCATTCATTTTCTCTGGTTCTAAAAACAATAAAATTTTTACAAGTTCGACTGATAATCGCCTTGAACACAAAAAAGCCATTCTTCACAAATTTTTAACAACTTTTCCAGATTTTTGAGTCGTTTTTATTTTCACTCTATTTTCGAATTTTTATAATTTTAACTCTTTAGCTGACAGGTTTTCAATATCTCTTTCATTACCCAGGATAATTTGGGCCAAAATGACAATACATTTTCTGACACTGTATAATTTTCTGACACTGTATAATTTTCCTATAAATCTGATTTGTATTCACCTGAATATCTCAATCATCAGAATACACAGAAAACTGGCTATCATATAATCCTTATCATGGAATAGAGTGCGGCCAATAAACATATTGATACACGATATTTTCTGTGTTTTAGTCATGTACAAAACTTTCCTTACTGTGTTTCTTCTGAAATTTGAAATTTCTTCCAGTTGTATACCCACACAAAATGTGGACCCATTTCGTGAGTTTTCAATTTCTTCAAAACTGAAAATTGAACTGAAGTGAGTTTCTATAGTTTTTTGAAAATAATAAAATGCAATCCAACTGTATCTTATTTTTCATTCAGAATTGATTGGATCTCTATCTTTGTTTAGTAGATTCAAACATTTTTCGGTCTCATCCAACAAACTCTATTGTACTCATTCAGAGTTAGCTGTTTATCATTCAAAGTTAGCTGTTATTTTTTCACCATAAAACAGCTAAAAACAAATATGTCTTTACAGCTTGCAAAGTGTGTTCAAAAATCTACGATTCCTCGTGTGTTGGTGACGATGGCTCCTATGGTGGATGGTGTGTACCCGCTGATGATGTTCCTGTAACTTATACACTTGGCAATCCTCCAGCTATCGGTTTCGCCACTTCCACGGACTGCTGGTAATCAAATTTTCAGTTAAAGTTAGTTAATATCAAATTTCAGGACTGATTTGACATGTCCCTCCGGAACTACTAGAGAATTTCTCATAGATGGGAGTATTCCGTCTGAAGGAAACCCATACGGTGCACAAACGCTTGCATACTGTGAAGAATCTGGACCCGCTGCTGGTGTTTGGCGTATCTGGGTCGCGGATGATCACGAAATCACAAATATGAGATGTGTGGGATGATAAGTGGTAATAAGAATCGCTATATATAACAACTTTTGCTGAATTTTTCACAGTGTTAAGATATCCGGTGTGATTCAATTCTATCTTTTCATTCCTTTGATTCTGACGTCGTTTTCCTGTCAACAATTGTCACATCTTCTCAATCAAAAATTGTTTAAGTGATAGCAATGAAGACACAAACAAGAATACGCTTTTTTTATTCCTAGGATGTTTTCATTTTTATCGTATAGTGCCTTGAACACTTGATTGAATGGAAAAAGGTGAAACCAATTATGATATTTTAGATCTACCTTATATATAAAACGCTATACGTTTATGTTGGTCCCCGTGTCACTATGTCGACTTTTGAAAAATGGAGAAATAAATATACAGTGCGGTCAATATCTTTAGGACCCCCCTCGATTTTGGCGGTTCCAGGAGAACGGTAAGAGATAGCGAAATTCGGTGAACGCCAATCGAATCAAGATAACATGAAACTTCATAGGACAAATTTTCATGATTCTACCACTTTCCGTATAAGAGTGCCACCAAAAATACCTATTTCTGGCCAGTCAATATTTTTAGGACCCCTGCAAATTTCGAATTTTTTTCCTATTTTTAGGAAAGTGACCCAATATCTAGAACATCATAGTGTATGTACACAATCAATACCCTGACTGCTCTCCCAGTATTTAAATTAGCTTCTCAACACCAAATTCTGTATGTTCCATGACCGTTCTCTTCGAATAGTTTGAATTTCTGACAAATTGGGTCACTTTTACAAAACTACGCAAAAATAGGAAAAATTCGAAAAGAGGATAATTTGGAAAGTCGACAAATTATGAAAATTCTTTGAGATACTTATAAAAATGTACCAAAAACACGAAACTGAAAATTATTTTCAGTTTTTAAGCGAAAATTCAACAAAAAATGACCAAGATTTCGAAATCTCCAGGGGGTCCTAAAGATATTGACTGGCCAGAAATAGGTATTTTTGGTGGTACTCTTATAAGAAAAGTGGTAGAATCACGAACATTTGTCCTCCGACGTTTCTTTTGATTCTGAATTGAATGACGTGCACAGAATTTAGATATCTCTAACCGTTCTTCTGGAACCGCCAAAATCGAGGGGGGGGTCCTAAAGATACTGACCGCACTTGGGGATTCTCGACGATTTTCTGCAGTAGCTCCACCGACTTTCTGCGGCAGTTCTGCCGACTTCTTTATGTCGACAGAAATGCTGCAGAAAGGTGACGCAAGCGGCTACCACGCGGGCGTTCGTTCTCTTCCTTTCTATTGACTCGTATTTAAAAACGACACATTTAAAATGAGATCTTTATTGAATCAAGTGATAATACAAAAAAAGTAAAGTTAACAAAAAAAATAAAATTTAAAAATGTGTTAGATGACCAAAAAGTGCATCTATTGTCGCTTTTTAGACATTCCATCGTAGTAAACTGCATTTTGAATCGAATCAGCATAAACATCACTGCGAATATTCACTTGTCAGATAGTCCAATAGAAAGTGAAAACATATTCAAAATAAAAAATTGGGTACAGTAGGCAGGTTCACCGTAAAACCTGTAATGTAACGTCATGGTATTCTGTTGTTCGGAGGGGTACTTTGGAGGTATGCAAGGTAACGAAATTTGGTTTTGTGCTTGATTATCATGGTAGAAAAACAAGAAAATGGTGCGAATTTTCAGATTGCCCTAAAAGTTAGAGGGACGGTACTATTACAGATAGCGTTATGTTACAGCTTCTACGGTAATCAGAGTCAGATAACTATCCGGCATTTTTTCCGGAAAATTTCTTTGACAAAGAAAAAATAATGCGATGAGTAAGAAATCAGTAAAACTTTAAAAAAAATGCTTACCTGTATAATTTTTTCGCTCCTCCTTGTTATTCAAGCCACTTTTCATTTAAAAAATTTGTTCTAAGTCGCTGGCTTCAATTAAGTTCCAAAAAATTCTGTTCAAAAATTCCGCAAGAATCCGAAAAAATTCGTATAAAAATCGTGTTTCCGTAGTTTCGTCATTGCAGAGATATTCCATATTTTTTTGTAATTTCGAAATTTTCGTGTTCGCTCGACAGTTTTCGTTCTCCTTTAGAATCTTCCGAAACATCAAAAAATATCGTCATTAGTCAAATAATTCCATTTTTAAGTTCGGTTTTCTCTGAAATATTTGTCTGAAATATTAAGATTAATTCTTACCTAATAATCGTTGTAGAAACTATGGCGCCGATGGCTCGTTTTCCTCAAGTCTAATCGTCGCAGTTGATTCCTTTTCCTCCACTCCATTTTGACCGACATTGTTCGGAGCAACGAAGAACTGTTGAATGCAAGCCGTGTATCCTCTGTTAGAAAAATTAGTTCATTTTAGAAATAACAGGGACACACTCACGGCCAATTATTGTTATCCGGTTCACCGACACCCCATTTGATGCCTTCAAATCCTGTTGTATCTCCATCGGTCCATTGGAAAGTGTTATACGGTCCACAGCTAGGAGATCTGCATCCCGGAAGATTAGTTGCTCCAACCCAGAGTCCTCCTACAGTCTGTCCTAGTACTGTCAGTTTGTTCAGCGCCACTTCTGCAACTTTCATACGCTCGTTTTCGTTTTGGAATCCAGTGAGAACTGCTCCCATGCCAGTGCAAGTATTTTGAGAGAACCATCCATTGGTTACTCCCGAAAAACCATCCTTGAAAATTAGAAAATTGAACGTCTGCTAGAGTTTGAAAGTATCAAAATACACCAAACCCCATTAGGTCTCTTGAACTCCATCCATCATCACATTTTCCCTTGGTTTCAGTGGGTCTCTGAGGACGTCGACGTGGGAATGGTCTTCTGTTTCCACGTCTAGGATATTCCTCGGATGACCAGGATGATGAAGAAGATGAAGAACCAAACTTCTTGTTTCCTTTTCTTCCAATTGAACTTCTTCCTTCCACCACATCGTCATCAAACTCAATAACTTTTACAATCTTTTTCACCTCATCATTATCCTTTCTGTGAGAGATGACGATTGTAGCAAGACATAATACGAGTAGAACGGAAAAGGAACGTTTCATATTAGGTTGGCGGGAAAGTCTTTGTCACTCTGTTTGTTTAATCACTGTTCTCGTATATGGAGGCTGTGTATGATATCGACTCTAGTGAATAACAAGGTGATAAGAACCTTCCATATAAACAAGTCCCCATCTCCTTCCCTGCTCCTCATCTGTAATTGAAACGATATGTTTGTTCCCACTGCTATTCACATCAGACATGTTTTGATTTACCTCTTCCTATCTCACACCACGATGAAGGATTCGGAAACTTTCTTGAAGAATGTGTACAACACACATGCCCCTCACTACAATACTATTCGCAATTGGTTCCATCGTTTCGAAAAAGATGACTTCTCGCTCGATGAAAAGGATCGCTCTGGGAGACCCCGTGAGTTGGATTTGGACAAGCTGAAGCACGCATTGCAATCGGATCCATTTCAATCTAGCCGTGAACTAGCTGTCACATTCGGAGTTCACCATAGCACAGTCCTTGAAGGTTTGAAGTCTCTTGGAATGAGAAAACTTTTTGGTCGATTCATACCTCATCACCTGACTCAAGCCAACCTTGACCGCCGAGTCGACGATTCGATTACTCTTCTCACTCTCCACGCGGGCGATCGATGGCTGGACCGGCTAATAACCGGAGATGAGAAGTGGGTCTTCTACGATAATCACCACAGGAAATCCCAGTGGGTTGGAGAAGGAGAGAGCCCACAGGATGTCCCAAAACCCGACCTTCATCCGAAAAAAGTTATGCTCTCTGTGTGGTGGGGAGTGGACGGCCCCATCTACTGGGAACTTCTGCCCGAGGGCAAAACAATAACTGGAGACCTCTACACTACTCAACTACGAAACCTCAAGAAAGCAGTCGACCGTTCGGCCCTGAAAGACAAGAAAGTGTACTATCAACATGATAACGCTCGCCCACATGTTTCGAAACAAGTGAAGCAGGAGCTGATGGGATATGGATGGAATGTTCTCCCTCACCCCCCGTATTCTCCTGATCTTGCTCCTTCCGACTATTGGTTATTTGGCGATATGACACGTGCCTTCGAAGGAAGAAGCTTCAATTCCCGTGGAGCGGTCGAAGCGGCACTCAAACAATACTTTGCCTCACGCCCGGCTGGATTCTACCGCAATGGAATCCATAAATTGAGGGAACGTTGGAGACATGTTGTTGATAATGATGGACAATATAATTAATTATTCGGTTATTTTTTCTTTGAGAAATAAACTATTGAAAAAGTGACAAAGACTTTCCCGCCAACCTAATAGTTTTCGCTTTCTGAAGTCTCAGAAGCCGATTTTTATATGATGATTACTTCCTCGTTATGCCACACTTTGAATCTCACGGTTATGACTATTAAACAAGAGAAAAGCTTTGAAGGTTCAAAGGTTGTAAAAGCAAATATTGGTTCGCTGATTTCTCTTTTGAAACCTTTTCTAACAACGAACCATCAAATAAAAGTTTCAGACAACGAAATGTCTGCTGCTTGATTCAGGAGATTTTTTCAATTCGTTTGAGTTTTCCCAGTCAATAACTGATTTTTTTTTTAAATATGAGAACGCTTTAAATTTTACAAGAGATCCTCAACACCTCGTATACCCAGATTTTGATGGGAATTCGGGATAGGTTAACAATAGGCTATCTGCACACATCTCAAAATTTTAGAATCCGCTCGCCAATTTCAGCCGAGTTATATCAGTTTCAGTACTGAAAATCGTATTTTCGGTGCAAAAATATTGGTTTTCAAAGGCTATTTCCTCAACTACTAGGACGTTTTAGAACATATAATTTGTTGTGATAAACTTAGATTTCAATTAAATTTCATATTTCGTACATGTTCTCAATTTTTTTTTTCGATTTTTGATAAATCTGGAAAATTGTGGAAAAATCCGAATAAAAAATATTTTTTTAGAAAATGCCCGAAAGATGACAAATTTTTTTAATTTTGAGTATACCATAAAACAAGTATGTTCTGGAACCTCCTAGAAGTCGAGAAAATCGTTTTTGTAAATTGATTTTTTGCACTGAAAAAGCGGTTGTTGGTACTGGAACTGATATAACCCGGCTCAAACTGTTCTTTCTAAAAATTTCAAAGGTGTCAAGATAGATTAAGCGTTATT